GCTACTCAGCTCACGTTCCCAGGAAGTAGCTGAGCCCTGTTCATATTTACATTCTTTTAGTTTTTAAATTTTTACTATTTTTTAATTTAAAAAATTCTTGGTGCTGCAGAAAGTTTTATTCCATTTGGTCCAAGGCTTGGGAGAGGGCTTAAGAATGGTTTAAAAAATATATTCTTTTAAATAAATGGAAATAGATTGGCTTGGTGTACATTTTTCTAAACACATGTTTTGCTTATATGAATTGTATTATGTATAAATGTATGCAAATAAATAGATATGTATGTATGTATGTGCATTTAGTAATTAGGATCATACCATCCATTTTCCCACAGAGTTATTTTTGCCACCTATCATGTGACCATGTGTATATCTATTTCTGGATTCTATTTTATTTAATTGGTCTAATTGCCTCTTTGGGTTTTTTGGAATTGAGACAAGGTCTCACTCTGTCATCCAGGCTGGACTACAGTGGCACAGTTATAGCCCAGTGCAGCCTCAAACTCCTGGGCTCAAGGGATCATCCCATCTCAGCCTCCTGAGTTGAGTAGATCGGACTACAGGTGCATGCCACCACACCTGGCTAATTTCTTGTGGAGAACGATGTCTCACTATGTTGCTCAGGCTGGTCTTGAACTCCTGGCCTCAAGCAGTCCTCCCGCCTCAGCTTCCCAAAGTTCTGGGATTATGGGTATGAACCACTGTGGCCAGCCAGGTCTAATTGCCTGTTTTTAAGCTTTTGACTCTACTTATGTCGTCTTTCATTTTATTTTATATTTTAAAAAATATTTTTAGCTGTGATTTTGTTGTATACTTATGTAGTCTTAATTAGTGTGCCTTTGTAATAAGTCGATGTCTGGTAGTGTCTGCCCTCACACTTTGCCGTTTTTCAAGAGCAGCTTCATTTTCTTGCCTTTTTTATTGCTATATACATTGTAGAACTGGTTGTCAATTTCCATTAGAAAAAACCTGGTAGGATTTTATGTTGGAGACTGTATTGAACCCCAGAGGGTTAATTGGGAATAGTTGATGTCTTTACAATAGTTTTCCCATCTGTGAGCACGGTATACGTCCCTTGATTTAGGATGTCTTTAATTTCTCTCAGTAATACTTTGTAGTTTTTTATGTAGAGGTATTGTACAATATGGGCTTCCTTCCACATTAGACTGAAAAATGTACTTCTTTTTTAATAGTAGTTAGTGTAGATGAACCATATGTATTTTCAAACTTTTCTGAGGGTATTGAAGACTGTTTGAAATCCTTCTGTATTAAAAATTATGCTAATGAAAATCCTTGACAAATGTATATGCTTGAGACCTGATGACAGCTTCTGATTAGGATCTCCATGTCTTTTCTTACTTAGCTGAACTAAACCCTGCCTCTGTCTCTCTCTCTCTGCCTCTTCTTCGCCTCCCCCGCCCAAGTGTGTGTGTGTGTGTGTGTCTGTCTGTCTGTCTATCTCCCCTGAATACATCCTCTTCCGGACCATTCCAGTTGTCCTTACCCTGAGGCTGGAGTGAGCTGTCATCCTCCAAAGCTTGGAGGCCTAGAAGCCCTCTCTCTTTTACAAGCCAATGGCCCCTCCAGTTGTATACTACAGTATTGTATTTTTTTTTTTGGAGATGGAGTCTTGCTCTGTCACCAGGCTGGAGTGCAGTTGTGTGATCTCGGCTCACTGCAGCCTCTACCTCTCAGGTTCAAGTGATTCTCCTGCCTCAGCCTCCCAAGTAGCTGGGACTACAGGTGCGTGCCACCACACCCAACTAATTTTTGTATTTTTAGTAGAGACGAGGTTTCACCATCTAGGCCAGGATGGTCTCGATCTCTTGACCTCATGATCCGCCCACCTAAGCCTCCCAAAGTGCTGGGATTACAGGCATGAGCCACAGTACCCAGTCCAGTATTGTAATTTTTAAAGATAGATTTTACTTTCCAGTTTTGTGTTATCTCAGAAGAGATGGAGGAGGAAGGAAAAGTTTGTAAATTACCTTCTTTAGCCAAGGAAGGGTATTGTTTTCACTTTTTTATGGTCCCATCCACTTGGTATTTTAGAATAGCTCTGTCCTACCACCATACCATCAAAAACAACAATTAAAATGACAACACAAGTGAGGAAATGGCATAACTTACCGATTACTTCCTATGCGCAAGTTACTAATCAAAGCACTATAAATACTACACCTCATTTTAAAACCAACTCAGGGTCAGGTGTGGCGGCTCATACCTATAATCTCAGCACTTTAGGACACCGAGGTGGGAGAATTGCTTGAAGCCAGGAGTTTGAGACCAGCCTGGGCAACATAGAGAGACTCGTCTCTACAGAAAACAAAAACCTTAGCTGAGTGCAGTGGCCCACAGCTACCCAGTTATTCCCAGCTACCCAGGAGGCTGAGGCGTGAGGGTCCCTTGGGGCCAGTGGGTGGAGGCTGCAGTGAGCTATGATCCTGCCACTACACTTCAGCCTGGTGACAGAGCAAGACCCCAACTCTAAAAATAAATGAAACAAAAGCAGTGTTATCTAGTCAGTCATCCCCATTTTATTTGTGCAGACATTGACGTCTAAAAGTTGAAGCAAGATACCAAATGCACACAGCTGTACACAGTTGGAGCTGGATACAAGCCAACTGTTACCGACTGCTAATTTGGGGTGGTATTGTATTATTTTACCTGCTTACTCTTGGTGCTTACCAGGGCCTCTGAGGTGGCTGGAGCAAGGGTTGAGTTAGAATGTGGTGCAGTATGATGCCGACATCATGGTCGTATGATTTGTTTGTATTTCTTGTTTTCTTTTTTGTGGGGCTTCTGATTTTTTGATAAGACTTCTGATTTATGTTAGATCCCTGATGCATGTAGAAAGGTTTTGGTCTTGGTTGAAGAATGAATTATTCTACTTCAAATGAATAGCAATTCATTTGTAATTGTAAAATGAAGTAGAAATTACTTTGCCTTGCCTATTCTATTCAGGTCCCCTGCAGTTTTTACGAGTGTTGTCTAGCCTTTGTATGACGAGTTCTGTACATCTCCGTGACATTCGATTCCATTGGTTCTCCTCCAGTTCTTTTTTCCCACCTTACCCTCTGGGTTGGCCTAGCCCCTTGTGCATACACCTGTCTTAGAGCTTTCTGTACCATAATGAAGTGAGTTATTCATATGTCAGTCTTCACAGCTGGCCAGTAAGTTCCTCAAGATTAGAAAATGGGCCCTGTTCTTCCTCGTAGCCCTTGTGCCTAACACAGCCCTGATGCGGCGGCCTGGACATAAGGCCTGCGCTGTGGGGCTTTATTGCTTTCACTCAGACTTCCTAAAGAAAGAAGCAAGAGTCTCTGTGTCTCCAGCATCTCTTCATTCTGGCTCTGCTATCAGAGGCATTTTAAAGCAAAGCTCTGATTGTAATTTTGTACCTCAGAGATGTCAGTGACCAACTATCACCTGTTGCATAAAAAGTCCCTATTTCTTAGCTGTCATTCAGATTCCTCCATGGTCCTGTCCTCACTGAACTTCTGTTCTTCATGTGCACTCTGCATTAATTAAACAGGGCTATGTGCTTATCCCCTTTTTTCTCTCTGTGCTTTTGCCTGTATTGTGTCTTCTCTGTACCCTTCACCTCCCAAAATCTTACTACCCATTCTTCAGATACCCAGTATAAATGCTGGTTACTCCATGAAGCTTTCTGTGATCTCCCTGCCTTCTCTGACCTCTACCCAAAGAGGTCTTTTTCCCATCTGAACTTTTTTTCTTCCTCTTCTAAGGAAAGCAGCACTCCGATGTGAACTCTTAATAGCACGTAGACTGTGACATAGCATTATTTTTTTTTTTTGAGGCGGAGTTTCGCTCTTGTTACCCAGGCTGGAGTGCAATGGCGCGATCTCGGCTCACCGCAACCTCCACCTCCTGGGTTCAGGCAATTCTCCTGCCTCAGCCTCCTGAGTAGCTGGGATTACAGGCACGCGCCACCGTGCTCAGCTAATTTTTTGTAATTTTTAGTAGAGATGGGGTCTCACCATGTTGACCAGGATGGTCTTGATCTGCCGACCTCGTGATCCACCCGCCTCGGCCTCCCGACATAGCATTATTTTTATACCCTACTAAGTGATCAGTTTCTAAAGCACAAGGTCTTGCCTTTGTTTTCTCTGCTGTTTTGCATTAATTACTGCATTGACTGTACAGGATGAGTATCCTTTATCCAAAGTGCTTGGGATCAGAGGTGTTTTCTATTTTAATTTTTTTTTTATTTAGGTATGTTTGCATATATGTGATGAGATATCTTGAGGATGGGACCCAAGTCCAAACATGAAATTTACTTGTTTTGTTGTATGCACCTTACACTTACAGAGTGAAGGTAATTTTACATACTATTTTAAATAATTATGTTCATGAAGCGAGTTTTTACTGTTTTACCTGCCCCATCACATGAGGTCAAGTGTGGAATTTTCTACTTGTGATGTCATTTCAGTGCTTACGAAGTTTCAGATTTGGGCCGGGCAGAGTGGCTCACACCTGCCACCCCAGCACTTCGGGTGCCTGTGATGGGTGGATCACTGGTGGTGGGTGCTTATAATCTCAGCTGCTTGGGAGGCTGAGTCAGGAGAATCGCTTGAACCTGGGAGGCAGAGGTTGCAGTGAGCCGAGATTGTGCCACTGCACTCCAGCCTGGGCAACAGAGCAAGACTGTCTGAAAAAAAAAAAAAAAAAATCTCAGATTTTGGAGCATTTCCAATTTCAGGTTTTTAGATTAGGATGCTTTCAGCCTATATGCGAATTATACTGAATGTAAATTAACTTTGGATTTTTTAGTTTCAAGGAAACTGCTCAGAGGACTGTCAAAAATTCTTCCTCTGCTTTGGCCTACAAATAAATGCATGCAATTCAGAAACTACGTAGGTTTGAACGGTGTTTCATTCTTAGAACTGCGGTTTAGGAAAGAATTTGTTTTCCAGATCGGTGTTTATTATGCTTTAAATAGTTACCATTCTTTATTACTGACTATTGTCCTTGGTTTCCAGGGCACTGTGTTTAGTCTTGAGTCAGAGGAGGAGGAATACCCTGGAATCACTGCAGAAGATAGCAATGACATTTATATCCTGCCCAGCGACAACTCTGGACAAGTCAGTCCCCCAGAGTCTCCAACTGTGACCACTTCCTGGCAGTCTGAGAGCCTACCTGTCTCACTGTCAGGTAGCCAGAGTTGGCACACAGAAAGCCTGCCAGTGTCTCTAGGCCCTGAGTCCTGGCAGCAGATTGCAATGGATCCTGAAGAAGTGAAAAGTTTAGACAGCAACGGAGCTGGAGAGAAGAGTGAGAACAACTCCTCCAATTCTGACATCGTGCACGTGGAGAAAGAAGAAGTACCTGAGGGCGTGGAAGAGGCTGCTGTGGCTCCTGTGGTCTTGCCGGCAGGGGAGCTGCAAGAGGCACTTCCTGAAGCCCCGGCTCCCTTGCTTCCACACATCACTGCCACCTCCTTGCTGGGAGCAAGGGAACCTGACACAGAAGTGATCACAGTGGAGAAGTCCAGCCCTGCTACATCTCTGTTCGTAGAACTTGGTGAAGAAGAGATAAAAGCAGCAACAGTTGGAGCTACTGAAGTGGAGGAAGTGGTTCCCACACTGGAACCCACAGAAATGCTGCTGAGTGAGAAGGAGACAAACGAAAGGGAAGAGAGCCCTGTGGAAGAGCTGCCCCCCGCCGGCGAGGTGAAGCCCATGCCACTGTCTGAGGGAAAGTCTATACTGCTGTTTGGAGGGGCTGCTGCCGTTGCCATCCTGGCAGTGGCTGTTGGGGTAGCCCTGGCTCTGAGAAAGAAATAGGTTTTCAGAAGAGAAAGACAGAAGGGTGTAAGGTTCGAGTTGTACTGGCTGGAATGTGAACTGCCAGCAACTGTGTGAACATTTGTGGGACACTCTGGGATAATTGGGGACTTCTCAACATGGCAGTGGGTTGACCCACATGTTAGGGCTTAAGGTGGGGTGTTCACGTTCGTCTGACTATAAATCCCAAGGGCCTTGGCTCATGCTAAATTGAGAATCTTAAGGGTAAAGCTTCCCCTCCCAGACAGGGTTTCTCAGCCTTGGCACTAGTGATACTCTGATCGGTCTCTGTGGCGGGGCTGTCCTGTGTGTGCTGGATGTTCAGCAGCGTCCCTGGCCTCCACCCATTAGATGCCAGGGGCACACCACTCTCAGACGACAACCAAAAATGTCTCTAGACATTGCCAAATGTCCCCTGTGACGGCATCATCCCCCATTCAGAGCCACTGCTTTAGAGGGAGAGGGTGTACTTAGGAAGAACTGGGATAGAAATTCCCAGCCGAGAGCTTAGCCATGGGCTCCTCAGCTACTGACTTGTCAGCTCATAATCCCCTTAGAGGTTCGTCCTTCCTGATGAGCAGGCTGGGCTCTGCAGCCACTCCTTTTTCGTCCCCCTGCCCCTCATCCTGGAGTGTGAGGGTGCTCGCCTGTCCTCAGCTGCCTCTCAGGGACTCACTGTTCCTCTTCACCCCCAGGTTCCTGCTAAGATCCCACAGGAGAGGGCTTGCTCAGACCTGTCAAGTCCCCAAAGCTTCCTGCAACTCCACCTTGTAAAAATGATGCCTTTAGGAGTCTTTGAAACATATATACAGAGAAAATAATATGAAAGAGACCTGGGTCCTCACTTGGGAATGAAATTGCAAGTAACTGGCTAGAGAGACACCTTTGTCTTGTGTCAGGGAAGGAGGATAACCTGGATGACCTGAAGTCTCTTCAGCCTTTTCCTGGTGGTCACCCACTCTCTGTGGGTACTTGCCAGCAGCATCTCTCTTGCTGGGTGGTCACTGTCTGTAACCCTGGGCTAGTATATGTTTTCCAGTATGTGAGCACAGTCTTACTACTGACCAGTTCTGTGCATCTCTTGCCAGGTGGTAAGGATTTTCATTCTTGGGCTTACAGAGCCAGTTAGATCATAACTCTTATTAAATATCACTGAAATAAGAAGTAGGAAAAGAAGCTTGAACTCTAAGACTGAGGCTGCCCTGCAGATTTTAGTTTGGCCTTCAGAGTTCAGAAATGGCAGTGTCTTCACCTGAGTTCTTCACAGAGCAAATGCCAGGGCAATAAACCAAAATAGTCCTAATGAGCATAGGCTAGTTGAGCATCAGCATCCTGTTCTTTCCTCTGGCTGTTCCCAGCCCTAAGGAGGGGGAGACCTGGGTCTTTCCATGTCCAAGGGTACGACATCACCGTGCAGGGCACACGTGCTTGGTTTAAAAAGGTCATCTTAGATTTATCTTAGCAAATGTAATAAATTATTTTTTAGATCCTGAAATTTATAATAAAATACTTTACCTACCCTGGTCACCAAAACCTGATGTTTTAAATGCATTGTTTTGTTTTGTTTTGTTTTTTTTTGGAAATTTATGTTTTAAAATAAAATCTCCCTAAAGCCATACTGTTTTAAAGGTTGGTAAAAACAGGGTCTGGGAGTAAAACAGGGTCTGGGAGTATGTTTGTGTGTCTGTCCAGCTTTCTCGTGTAGCATGTCATATGTTTTGTGTTGCAGTGTCCCATCTAGGAAGTCCTGTTTTATGGGTTTTTGTGTACTTGGATGAAGTCATTAGAGGTGAGTGGGGGAAATGGGATTAGCGAGGTGAAGGTTTTTCTCTTCGTGAGCTCTGATAGTTGCACTGGATTATTTTGTATTCTAATTGCTATGTTTGTGTTTGCATAGGGGAAGAGGAGAGAGAACTGGTGAGTTACCTTGATTTTAAAAAAATGCTAAGACTTTCACTCTCAGTATTAGCACTGACCGACTCTGCATCCTCACATCTGCTGACTGACTGCATTCAAGCACTAACGGAAGCCAAGCGCATTTCTGAGCTGCCGCAAGGAGGTGTGAGGCTTAGGATATTTGAGGCTGCGTTGCCCACAAAAGGAAGGAAGGAAGAAGTATGGTATGGAAGCGGCTGCTTGCTGCTTTAGTTTGCCCACCTATTGAACGCTGACCCGCAGTGACTTGGCCAGTTGTGTTTTGCTGGGTGATGGAACTAGACGGTGTTTTCCATTGGCTTTCTTTGGTAACTCTTGGTCAGCTCCTGAGTGATAGGATGCGGCAGCGTCCCTGTGCCCTGTTCACTTCCTTGCCCTCTGCCTCGGGCAGTGGAGTGAACAGCCCTCTTGAGAACTGCATCCTGTTGCAGCTCCTGCTTTTTGCTTATTCGCTTAAAAACTTTTTTTTTTTTTTTTTGAGATGGAGTCTTGCTCTGTCACCCAGGCTGGAGTGCAATGGCGTGGTCTCAGCTCACTGCAACCTCCCCCTCCCGGGTTCAAGCGATTCTCCTGCCTCAGCCTCCCAAGCAGCTGAGATTACAGGTGTCCCCCACTGCATCCAGCTAAGTTTTGTGTTTTTAGTAGAGACGGGGTTTCACCATGTTGGCCAGGCTGGTCTTGAACTCCTGACTTCTTGATCTACCCACCTCAGCCTCCCAAAGTGCTGGGATATGAGCCACCGCACCCAGCCTTAAAAATTATTTCTTAAGTACTCTCTTTTTTTGGGGGGAGGAGCTGATAGTAGGAGGCCGTTCCTTCCTGCCCCCGACTTATGCTCTCTGTCTAAGGTAAAGGAAAGATTCAGAATTGTTGTTAGTCCTTAACACCTCATCTCAGCTGCTCTATTGAAGATAATGACTTATTGGGGAAAACAAAGAATGGTAATTTATCCTCTCTATTAACGTGATAATTCTGGGCCCACAGAAATCAGTCAGTACCTACAGTGTGCCTTAAAGGGACTCTCATGATCATCATTCCCCTCTAGAGAATATTTTAGATCACAAAATGCAACTCTTGACCCTCTGGTTTGCCCAGAGGCATCCTTGATATGCCTTCTTGCCTGCATTTCTGTCCCAGGTATACCAGATGCAGCCACTGCCTACCTAGGCTTGTCCTGGGGGAGTGAGCTGTGAACCTGGAGACGGTTTTTTCTCACAGCTGCTGTTAACCTCCTGAGGCATTGCGCTGATTCCCTCAGTAATAGCAAAACAATGCCTGCTCCTTCCCTTTCTCCTGAAAGGTATGAGATGCAGACATTTCAGTGTTTGAATTATTTTAAGAGATGTTTTATAGAAGTAAAAGGTTTTGTAGTTAAGACTTTTTCCCCTTTCTCTTAATTTCTTAGATCTTTCCACACAAAGTTTTCTTTCCAAGAATTTGAAGTGGTGATCGTATCCTTCAAGACAGCCTTGTAGGCTGTGTGATCACCGACAGACGTGACTGAGTGAGTGCTTCTGCCCGAATTCCCACAGAAGTGTCCTGTCGTTTAACATCGACACACTCGATGCCAGAATAACGATTCTTCTTCTCTGGTGCATCAAGGCCTTCCCTTAGTGATAACCTCTCAATTATGAGATTCATTTGAGTTTGGGGTATATAATTTTTCCTAAAAAAAATTCACGTCGAGAGTTAAAATTTTAGCAAATACTAGTTGAGCCTTTACAACATGCCAGAGATGGTTCTGGTGCTCTCACATGCCTATTTCACCTTCACAGCCCTAACAGCCATTTGTATTCCTTTTATCCCCGTATCACAGAATGAGGAAGCTAATCAGAGTTCATTAGTTGGCCTCATGTCCTCAAGCACGAGAGGCAAGGCAGTGATTTGAATTCTCCTGAATTTGATGTATCATTTTCCTGGCCCTGCGAAGCAGTATTGGCAGGCTCTCTGCAAATGGTTGTGCTGGTTGTTTACCGCGTAAGGGCTGACGGGACAGATTGCAGCATGCAGCCTGTGCTCTGCGCGTCGTGCGTGGGCCCTGGGAGGAGGGGTCTTCTCCTCATTTGTACAGAGGCACCATGTAGGCTCACTTAAATAGTAAGCATGTTCTACTACAGAAAAACAAGAGTGAGGGTTGTGTCCAGGACTGGTCTCCGCTTCCAATTCTGTGGCTGTTTTCCTGTGGACATTAATTGAGATGTTTTGTGGTTCCAGAATTCACAGTGATTGCTGATGAGCTTTCATTAGCTTTCTTGATTATTTCTGCTTGTAAACAAGGTTAGGCAATCTGTCCCAGGAATTAGCAGAGTGCCAAATGAGGCGGGTGAAGACAGCACCACGATGCATTTCTCGCTCTTTCTCCCCTGCATAAGCCATCATAAGGGTAGGGCTGTGGAGTGGAGTGGGGGAAGGCCTGGACTCTTTGCTTGGCCTCTGGACAGACATTCAAGGAGGTTGGGGACTTAGGAGGGTTGACCAGGTATGGCCACAAGTACCTCAGCTCCTGGAGGACTTCCCAGTGAAAGACCTCCCAGCACATTCCCCAGCACATCAAGGTAATTATAACCGTGGCTAGAGAACACCAATTCTGTGGTACAGAATGGTGACATTCAGTCACTACCTCATATATAAAGAGAGCTCCGTGGGGAGTTGCAAAGTGCATGCCACTAAAATACTAACACATTTGTTTTTGCAAGGCTGTTCGACTTCAGCCCGCATTGCTGCGCGTTACCACCACCAGGTCTTCCACGTAGGATGTTCACGCCACAGGAGCCCGCACCAGGCGGCTGCCTCCCCCACGCTCAGAGTGGAATTGTTCTCAGGGATATTTGCAAGGCCTTGCTGTCAGTTACAAAGTAGCAGCTGTATCAAAGTGAGTCTATCCTGCTCTCTTCTCTCCTGAGGAGAAATTTTATAGTGATAGTGCTCACTGTAAGCGAGTGTTGTTTGCACCCCCAGAAGAAACTGGTTCATGAATGTACTATTTAGAAGAAAAGTTTTGACATTTTAAGAGTACTGGTTGTTGCCTTTCCCCAGGAAAAGGGGGTAAAAGTACAGTCTTCCCTGTTGCGGGGTTTGGAATAACTCCGTTTGTCCCTGTGCTTTCCAGCAAGAGAACTGTATGGTGTGGATGGGTCCTTGGCCAGCATGAAAGGAAAAAGTCCCAGACCTGTGTTTTTCCTCTTACAGTCTGTTTCTTCCTTCAGATTGAAAGTGCCTCCTCTTCCTAACTCCTTTCATTAAGGTCAGTTAACCATCGGTTCAAATGCTCTCAAGGATACCGGAACTAAGTGGTGATTTTCAGTAAGTTAACACAGGCATTTTAATCGAGCAGCTTGTGTTGCCTTCCTCTGTGAGTGCCGTGAGCCCTCTGTGTGCAGCTCTGCTTTGCTCATCCCTGTGGGTCATCTACCTTTTGGCCAGTCTACTCTTCATCAGGGGAACGGAAGAAACTTCCAATCTGTGAGTTACTCTTTCTGTCAGAAGCAACGTGCCAGAGAGAACACATGGGATTTGAAGATGATGGATGGACTCATCTTTCTATCCACATGGTAACTACGCCCTCGACTCAGGCAGCAGCATCTCACATCATCAGTTGTGTTTGTCGGTCCATTCTTAACTGACTCAGGTTCTGAAAACAAGATCGTAGCTTTCAGAGGACTCTATGCCAATTCTCAGTCAGCACAACCAGTAAAGTTGTTGGACAGTAAAACCAGGCTCAACTGCCGCGATCCTTTAAGGAAGCCTTGAGCATCTCAGCAGTTAATGCTGGGTCCTGAGAGGGGAGGTCGGGAGTGATTTAACCTTGTGAATGCACCAGATGTCCCTCCTGACTTCCAGATACACCAAGCATCTTTCCAAGGAGAAACCTTTTTATGTTTAACAAGGAGTTTCCATCACTTAGTTCAAATGTTTTTTAAAACAGAATGGAAGATACATTCTCTGAATTAAAGCCTCCTTTCAGTTATATCCACAAGGATTGTGTTACAGGACGAAATCCACCAACTGCCAGGATGTACCCAAGTCGTCATGGCTGGCAAGGTCTCAAGACTGGAACATTTGTGTTTGAGACAGTGGAATCTTTTTATAACATTAGCTTTGGGAGAAGGGGTGACAGTCTTGCTCTATAACCAAGACAGTATCTCAGACTTGGTCTAGAAGAATTTGCACCAAGACCTGTTGTAAGCTGTAATAAAATGGCGGCCTGCTGTGTTCAAATGAAACAGAAGGTGGAGATGCTGTGGAAGAGTCAGTGAGTGAGAGATGGTCCAGAGTCACCTGCTGCTTTAGAGCACTGTTCCATGAGTTCCGGGTGATGGTAGTACAGCCCCTTTGGGAGGAAGATGCCTCCCCTTGGCGAGAAGCTGATTGTAATGGCTGATGTGTGGATGGATGTGTAGGTGCAGTGTGGCTCAGCCTGTTTCCATTGTGGTCGGAAAAATTTTTTAAGAAGTCCACTCCAAAACATGAAAAGTCATAGTGTTAGGAAGATTTATTTCCAAACAGTGGCCTTCATACTACATGGCAGCACTTCTTTTTCGTATTTGTAACCTTGTGCCCACTTTGAGAGCCACCTCTAGCATGGTATGTATGCCATGCTGAGCAATAGGTAGTTTTTCTTTTCTGATGATTTTAAACTCTTAAGGAGCAGAAAAGTGTTGTGGTAAGTAGTCAGGAGTCCGTCAGGGTTCTTACTCTTATGTCTCCCCAGCAGCCTCGTGTGGTCACAGGAGCTGTCCTGTTCACGGCAGTGTGAGAGACACGGACCTAGCAGTCACCGTCGTGCTTTTACACTGATGCCTGGGACACAGCTTACCACTGGAACAGCAGACCAGTGCTGCACTGTTTCTCAGCTAAGCCTTTCCTTGTTTATGTTGGTACTTCCTAAGTGACTTGGTTTTGACTGTCCCTAGGAGAGGGAACCACTTTGCTGAATTTTAAAAAGTCCAACTGCTCTTTCATCTTTTTTTTTTTTTTTTTTTTTGAGACGGAGTTTCGCTCTTGTTACCCAGGCTGGAGTGCAATGGCGCGATCTCAGCTCACCACAACCTCCGCCTCCTGGGTTCAAGCAATTCTCCTGCCTCAGCCTCCCGAGTAGCTGGGACTACAGGCGTGCACCACCATGCCCAGCTAATTTTTGTATTTTTAGTAGAGAGGGTTTCACCTTGTTGACCAAGATGGTCTCGATCTCTTGACCTTGTGATTCACCCGCCTCGGCCTCCCAAAGTGCTGGCATTATAGGCATGAGCCACCGTGCCCAGCCTCATCTTCTGTGCTTAGGAACCTGGTCTCCTTTTGGAGGCATGGAGAGCCCAGCATATGGCTGGAAATTGGAAGTTGACAGCTGTGACCAGGCTGCTCCAGGGCATCGCAGTAGCTTCTGGCACCCATGGCTTAATGTCTTTAGCAAAGCCTTGACTTCATGGAGAGAAAGGGTACAGTGCAGTTAGTTACCTGATTTTGTAAACAGTGGCTGACACAGGCCCTTCTATCACCTGCACACCTTTTAAAACCACAGGTGGTTCTGACTCAAAAGAAGATCAAGTTGAAAAAATCAAGCACCTACGTATTGGGGCTCACTTTCCCGTTGAGGGCAGCACTTGGGTTCAGAACCTCTGTGCTGTTTGGTTTTTAAACAGGAAGATTGTTGGTTGCTTAGTATTAAGATGGTCCCTCTGCTGAGTGGAATTTTCCATTGGTAAGAGGTATGTTCCTTTCTTCTCCAGTCCTCACTGGCCTCGGACAGGACACTGCCTGCTGTATGACCGTCCCCTGTGCTTGAACTTTAATATTAAACGGTAACTTTTTTTTTGTAAAAAAACAAAACAGTGTTTTGTTTCTACTGCCTTGAAACCTGTTTTTTCAAGTGGGAACCTACACAGCTGAAATAAAGGCACCATGTGTAGAGTTACGAATGTGCAGATTCATGTGTGGATGATATGAAGGCCATTCAGATACGTGCAGATGGACATTTTCATTCAAGTATATTAATGTGGATATTCTGAAATGGGTTATAAGCTTAAAACATTGTCTTTGAGATAGAAATCACAGCCGCCATCCAGCCCATCTTCTCTAGGAGCGCTGTCGACATGCCAGGGGCCGCCTGCACTGAAGCAGCTACCCGGCTGTGGCCACGCCGAGCTGTAGCCAGTCATGCTTTCGGAACCGTCCATTCAGTCCGTCTCCTGGAGCAAGAAAGGAGAGAAAGCCAGAATCAGCGAGGCTCATTCACAAACCAGGCTCCAGAGCTCTGGTGCCACAGCAGGCGCAAAGCTGGGATTTATGAAAACATTCTCCAGAGCCCTGAAGTCCTGTCCTTGTATCCTACTTTTCTGCTACATGAGGGCAACTGCCAAAAACAGGCTGTTGAGGCGGTGAGGTGGCTGTTGGCATCTCCGAGGCCCGGGTGGTGTGGAGAGGCCCCTGCTGGGTCAGAGGAGTCACGATTCTGCCTCAGCGTCTGGTAAGCTGTCCATACAGACTGCTGCACACGTCTTCCCCACTCATTCCCCCTTTACGTGGGTGTCGGTAAAAGCTGTTCAGGAATTGCCTCAGGCTTACCTCCTTCTAACAGTTCGGCTGGTTTTAAGATTTATATTCATTCTGTTTTTAACATGCCTGTATAACCGAAGACCATAGCATATAAGGAATGATTTTTTAAGAGTTCTTATTAGGGTATTAGATGCTATTTTACTTAAAAACCAAAGCCTGACGTCATAAAATCCCAAACATTTGCCAATGTTTTTACATTTACAAATAAGACACTCCACTTCCATGTGGTCTACGAAACAGAAGCACCAGCTTTTAAGGACGGTCTGGCCCTTGGGCAGCATCGTGAAGACTGTACATTTGTTTTTAGAGGCAGGGTCTTGCTTTGTTCAGGCTGGAGGGCAGTGGCACAATCATAGCTCACTACAGCCTTGAACTCCTGGGCTCAAGCAAAGAGAACCTTCTGCCTCAGCCTCCAGAGGAGCTGCTTCAACCTCCATGATGGCATGGACTATAGGCGCATGCCACCATGCTCAGCTATTTTTCTTTTTGTGACAGAGTCTCACTGTCACCCAGGCTTGAGTGCAGTGGCATGATCTCAGCTCACTGCAACCTCTGCCGCCTGGGTTCAAGCAATTCTCCCGCCTCAGCCTCCTGACTAGCTGGAACTATGGGGACCTGCCACCACACCTGGCTAATTTTTTTGCCTTTTTAGTAGACCCAGGGTTTTACCATCTTGGCCAGGCTGGTCTCGAACTCCTGACCTCATGATCTGCCTGGCCTCAGTCTACCGAAGTGCTGGGATCACGGGTGTGAGCCACCGCGCCTGCCTATCAGCTAATTTTTTTTGAGACAGAGTCTCGCTCTGTTGCCCAGGCTGGAGAGCAGTGGCACAATCTTGGCTCACTGCAACCTCCGCCTCCTGGGTTCAAGCAATTCTCCTGCCTCAGCCTCCCGAGTAGCTGGGACTACAGGCACGTGCCACCGTGCCCAGCTAATTTTTGTATTTTGGTAGAGATGGGGTTTCACCTTGTTGACCAGGATGGTCTCGATCTCTTGACCTCGTGATCCGCCTGCCTTGGCCTCCCAAAGTGCTGGGATTACAGGCGTGACCCACTGCGCCCAGCCAGCTAATTATTTTTAAAAATTGCTTAGAGTCAGGGTCTCACCGTGTTGCTCAGTTTTATCTCAAACTCCTGTCCTCAAGCACTCCTGCTGCCTCTGCTTCCCAAATTGCTGGGACTACAGGTGTGAGCCACCATGCCCGGCCTTTAGACTGTGACTTCTAATACCTGGTTAAGGGACAGATGTGCTCTGGAAAAGATTTTAGACAGTTCCCACCCCCCCCACCCCCTTTTTTTTGACTACTCTCTTTGGTTCGCATTACACTTTGCATTTGAGTTAGAGTCTACTTTGCTGTCCAGGCTGGAATGCAGTGGTGCGATCTCCACTACTGCAACCTCCGCCTCCAGGGTTCAGGCAATCCTCCTGCCTCAGCCTCCTGCGTAGCTGGGACTACAGGTGTGCACCATTATGCCGAGCTAATTTTTGTATTTTAGGAGATGGGCTTTCAGCATGCTGGCCAGGCTGGCCTGGAACTCCTGACCTCAGATGATCTGCCCGCCTTGCCCTCCCAGAGTGCTGGCACAACAGGTGTGAGCTGCCGCACCCAGCCACATTACACTATTTTTACGACCTGCTTGAGCTGTGAGGACTCCACCAGAAGTGCATTGAGTCTTTACCGTCCTTCCAAGTGGAACGTGTCTCCAGTAGCAAGCTGGTAAAGCTCAAAAGGACTCCGGGTGCTACTCACCACCTTCTTCACACAGCCTTCTGGCTACCAGCCAAAGCAAACCTGAGCTGGAAAGCCTGTAACCCTTGTGCCAGCATCAGAGGCAGGGGCCCCGCTGGGCTTCTCAACCGTCCAGGGAAAAGGGGATGGGCGGCAGGCAGGGAAGGGCCGGCTTCATGGGTACTTACGTTTCTGGTTAAGCTCCTCACGTAGGCCCGTAGGTTCTGGTTAATGAAATTCACTGTTGTGCGGAAGACATCACGGAGTAAGGACGGCGTGTGATCGGCCACCTTCTTGGCCAGCAGCAGGGCCAGCACCAGCATGGTCTTCTCCTTGTCCATGTCCGTAGGGTGGGCCTGCAGCAGCTGCTCCAGGGCACTGGCCAGGTCCCTCCTCCGGTCCTGCACGGGGGTACACACACCCTGCGTCACCAATACTCAAAGGAAACAGAGTCCCCAGTCTGAAGCAGCCCTTCAAAGGGAAGTATTAAGTAGCCACGGCTGCTGCGTGGAAAGAATGAGAAACAGTTGAGTTTTGAGGCAACGGAAAGGGAAGACTGCCATCTCTCCCTGCAAGGGTGTCGCTGAGCAAACGCATGTGCAGTGAGCCCATGCGCTCACTGTTAGATGGTGATGGAATTCGAGAAGGCTGGGTCGGCCCTGGCCGTAAGGCACTTCGAGTCCAGAACTAGTGACCACCTGTGACACCTGAGGCCCATCATATTGGTGCAGACCTAGCTGAATGGAGGGGAGAAGGCGGTCGCATGGGGGAGCAAGCACAGACTGAGGCTGGCAAGGACCCTCCGGCCCGTCGGTTCACAGGCAGAATTACACGGGAGGGCGCCAGACACTCCTGTGTTCTAGGCAGCTGCTGGGAACAGCACGGGGATGGCTGGCCCTGCTGAACAGAAGCATAACTGGATTTCCGGGAGGTGCGCCTGCCTTTTCAGCTGGTAGAGTCAGAAAGGTAGGACTTTCTCTCCTCAGCTGTTGCTACAGGCCTGTATTCGGCAGCTCGGAGGATGTAGTCCTTCCTGCCAAACGTTTTGGGGACCCAGTGCTCCGGACCAGTCTCTGTGTCCCCCTCAGTGCCTAGCAAATGGCAGAGCTCAGGACGTGGTGTGGGTTCCAAACAAGGATCCAGCAGAGCCCAGGCTTACGGCCCTCACTGGCGCCTCCATTAACCCCTAAAACCGAACAAGGTGTCGGTACTTCTGTTAACCAAACATGCTTCATTCACTTCAAAGCCTTTTACCCTAAACTACTCCAGTTTAACATTCAGGTTTGCTGGATGTCAAGCAGCTGAATTCTTCTGGAAGGCAATGAACCTCGCCCTACGTCCAGTTAACTGTTGACAGTTCCGGACTGGACGGTCACGAGATGAGTGTCCTCATGGAACGAACACTGGGCTGCCTGGTGAGAGGTGGGGCACACGCCCCTTGGCTCACTTGCCTGCCACGCGGTCCTCAGGCCTTCACTCACCTCCTCCGAGCGGCAGGCGTTCCTGAGCTGCAGGGCCAGGCGGTCCACCAGGTCCAGGGGGATGCTGCGGTCCATGCTGTCCCCGATGTGGGCGAGGTGCCTGGCAATGCTCCGGATGACGTCTTCTTGACTTTCAGAATCTGTATGTTTGGGCAGGGGTAGCAGAGACAAAGCAGACTCAGACAATGGCCCTGATACCCTCCCCGACACCACCCTGCCCCAGGAAATGACGCTTCTGTGCTTGGACAAGGCCAGTCCCTCCCTGTCCAGTGTAGCGCCGGCCCCCACTGGGCATGTGCTCTGCTCCACCAGGCCCACTGCGGGATGGCTGGGTACCAGCGCTGGGCTGGCTTCTAGGCAGTACCCAAGCTTGGGGCCCCAGCTGAGGCCTAGGCTCCCGCACAGGGGCACCATGTCCCCATGGGTAGGGCCGGCGAAGCTGGGGTGTCATAGCCACGCCTGAGGTACAAACCCAGCAGTGGTCTCATGGCTCACACAACCTGGCAGGGTTGGCCTTGGCCTGGGCAGCCGTTAAGAAGGGGCCCTGCGGGCCGATGGTGTCCCAGACCCACCTCCGCGCTTCCCAGCCTGAGACCCCCCTTCCTCAGTCTCATCTCAGGAAAACCCCAGTTGTCACTGGCACCGGAGGCCCTGGAGAACCTCCCCTGTCTTTATAACCGGAACTCACACCCTTGCCCCTTGGTCCTCCCCTGGTGCACAGCCTCCATGCTGCCCCTGCCTGAGGGCCACTGCACCTCCACGAGGACAACACTCACTGCTTCCTCCGTTTCTTCCTCAGCACTTGCTGATGCCCCTGCCGGAGGGTAAGCTCCCTCCCTGAGAGCTGTGATTTTTTTAATTTGTTTTGTCCACTGACATACCCAGCTCTTAAAGCAATGCAGGGCACTCAGTAGACGCTCAATAAACAATTGCAGGAACCAGGTGTGGTAGCGCACACCTGTGATCCCAGTGCTTTGGGAGGCTGAGGATGGAAGATTGCTTGAGGCCAGGAGGTAGAGGCTGCAGCGAGCCATGATTGCACCACCACATTCCAGCCTGAGGAACAGAGCAAAGCCCTGTCTCTACAAGAAACCAGTTCATTTTTTTGAGATAGAGTCTTGCTCTGTCGCCCAGGCTGGAGTGTAGTGGTGCGATCTCGGCTCACGGCAGTTTCCACCTCCCAGGTTCAAGCAAGTCTCATGCCTCAGCCTCCTGAATAGCTGGGATTACAGGTGTGTGCTACCACACCCAGCTAATTTTTGTATGTTTTAGAAAAGACAGTTTCACCATATTGGCCAGGCTAGTGTTGAACTCCTGACCTCAGGTGATCTGTCCACCTCGGCCTCCCACAGTGCCGAGATTACACCCAGCACTGGGATATCACCAAGCTCTACAAAAACTTTTAAAGGGCGGGGCGCGGTGGCTAACGCCTATAATCCCAGCACTTTGGGAGGCCGAGGCGCGTGGATCATGAGGTCAAGAGATCGAGACCATCCTGGTCAACAAGATGAAACCTTGTCTCTACTAAAAATACAAAAAATTAGCTGGGCATGGTGATGCACGCCTGTAGTCCCAGCTACTTGGGAGGCTGAGGCAGGAGAATTGCTTGAACCCAGGAGGCGGAGGTTGCGGTGAGCTGAGATTGCACCATTGCACTCCAGTCTGGGTAACAGCGAAACTCTGTCTCAAAAAAAAAAAAAAAAAAAAAAAACTTTTAAAGGAAGCCAGGTATACTGTACATATGTATAATCCCAGCTACACAGGAGGCTGAGGTGGGAGGACTCCCTGAAGCCAGAAGTTGAAGGCTGCAGTGAGCTGTGATCACACCATTGCACTCCAGCCTGGGCAACACAGTAAGACCCCATTTCTTAAAAAAAAATTTTAACTGCCTGAATGTGAATGGCCCCATACCTAGCTCATAGGAAGTGTTCAGAAGATGCCAGCTATTGTATTTCCTCCTGTTAAATCTATTTTCTCTGCTTACGACTTCCCTTTGGCTTTTGTGGTTTTAGGGCTGCTGCCCCCACCCTCAGTCAACCATTAAATCTCACCTTATGTTGCAAACACAATTATTTGGCCTGCCCTTGCCACTACCGCCACCCTGGTGGGAGTCCCCTGAGTGCTCCTCTGACAATGACAGCCCCACTCCCTGTCATCCAGTCCACTCCGCCACCTTCACAATACAGACCTCAGAGCAGGGCAGGGCAGGGTGGGGGAAGCGCGGTGCAAGGAGCAGGCACGTCCTTGGACTCTGTGCTCTGGGGCCTCACGGCCTCCCTGGAGTCTGTCGTGAAGCATGCAGTATGGTGACCACAGCACTTGCCTTCCAAACCTCTCAAATGCTCACCTCTGGGTAACCGACAAGTCATGACCCAGCCTCCAGGTACATCTGGCTTAACTTCCGTGCTTCCTTTCCAGTGACAAACTCAACTATTCATTGTAGCTTTTTTTTCCTTTTTTTTTTTTTTGAGATGTCATCTCGCTCTGTCACCCAGGCTGGAGTGTAATGGCGCAATCTCAGCTCACTGCAACCTCTGCCTCCTGCAATTCTTTCCCTCAGCCTCCCAAGTAGCTGGGATTATAGGTGCCCTCCACCACGCCCAGCTAATTTTTGTATTTTTTTTTTTTTTAGTAGAGGGGGGGTTTCATCGGTGTTGGCCAGGCTGGTCTTGAGCTCCTGACCTCATGATCCACCCACCTTGGCCTCCCAAAATGCTAGGATTACAGGCGTGAACGACCGTGCCCAGCCTCACTGCAGCTTTCATAGCTGCTGGGATTTTGCTTAAATGATAGCCATTCCCTCTTCCCAGTTTCCAAGGAACCAAATGTACCAGTCCTCAATGCCCAGCTCAGCTGCAGCTGTAGCTGTAGCCCCAAAGTCTTCCTGACTCTGCAGAGGGCCAGGCTCCCCCAGCACCAAATCTGTGCCTCATTCACGCAGGCTGTTCAGCTGCTTCAGTGATGGGCACATCCTCTCCCCCTCTGGCCACCAGTAGCAACAGGACTCTCCTGACCTGTCTGTCCAGCTGAGTGAACAGACTCACCAAAGAAACCCTGGTGGCCAGAGCCTCTACCTTGCCCCTCTTCCAGGGCTCACCAGGGACTAGATTCACATGCCAGTTTCCTACCAGTGCACCGGTCAGGCTAAGTGAACTGCCATGATCACTTTTTTCTCAGTCTAGAGGCAAAGGCCAGTGTGGAGAAGAGCAAGAGAAGAAAACCAGGGCAGACGGGACTGCAGTCGCCTTCACGGCAATACTGATGGCACCACTGTGCCTGCCCACTCCTGCCCTTCCTGTACCTTCCCACGGGGACCTGAGGCTTCTCCTCAGTTCAGGGCCAGCCAGAAGATTTGCTGGCTGGATTAGAGGGCAGAGATGGTCTCGGACACTCCCCCCAATCCCACCTCCTTCCGGGGCTAGTGGGCAACTCCAGCCACGTCCCCACGCATCTGATCTAAGGTGGGAGGCAGAAGACTGGGCCAGCTGTTGGTCTCCCCTGTAGCCAGCAGAGGGCAGCCGAACCCTCGAGCTTGGAAGGCCTGGGCTGGGGTCCTGGGAATTCCTGCAGGCTTTCAGGGCAGGGATTCTACCTGGGTCAGAATCCCCCAGGGCAGTGTCCTGCCCTAAAGCAGCCTGATGCAGGCAGCTGGAGTACAGCCCAAGGCCTGCACTTGGAAAAGGTTCCTTGTGTAATTCCAACATGCACACTACTGAAAGCCAGCGTTGCAGGGCTGGATATGGAAGTGTGTGAGCCTCCACACACCCCGTCATCCGCAAGGGACAGCCCCTGTCTGCAGAAGCAGCCCCTTGGCAAGGGGAGTGGAGCTGCATGCTGGAGGAGAGTGCAGGAATCAGCACAGGAAAGGTGAACAGTCCGGAAGGCAGTGCCCTACAGGGGGAGGGAGGCTGAGCCCAGCTCAAGAAGGGCCTGACCCCACGTCCCGTCCCGGTGGTGAGACGGTGACATAGCCACAAGCTGTGAGGTCTGGAGCTAGTCATGTACGCTTTGCTAGACCTGGGTTTCCTCACCTGGAAATGAGCTTCCAAATACTTCCGTGTTCTTGTAGAAGTAATCACCGGGCAGAATGTGTACGAAAGGAAAAGTGTTGGGCATAGACAGGTGAAAAAGTCACCGTGAAACAAGTGGGCTTCAATCAATAGGATAGTCAGCCAGGCCTGCTCAGGGTGGCAGGGGCTGCACTGGCAGTGCCACCTGGGGGCTCTGCCCAGACTCAGCAATGCGCAGACCGACCAATAAGAATCTCCCTGGAGGTGAGACGCAGGCACCAGCATTTAAAGCACCAGGTTTTTGGGGTTTTTTTGAGACGGAGTTTTGCTCTTGTTACCGAGGCTGGAGTGCAATGGCACGGCTCACCGCAACTTCCGCCTCCTAAGCACCAGGTTCTGGAAAGGATGGATATAAGCCAAGTGGGTGAACCCCTTGAGTTATATAGTCCAGACAAGCGGTTTGCAATCTTTGTATCAGAATCATTTGGAAAGTTGGATAAAAACACCTTTTTTTCTTGGCGGAGTTTTGCTCTGGTTACCCAGGCTGGAGTGCAATGGCGCGATCTCGGCTCATGGCAACCTCCACCTCCTGGGTTCAGGCAATTCTCCTACCTCAGCCTCCTGAGTAGCTGGGATTACAGGCACGCGCCACCATGCCCAGCTATTTTTTGTATTTTTAGTAGAGACGGGGTTTCACCATGTTGACCGGGATGGTCTCGATCTCTTGACCTCGTGATCCACCCGCCTCGGCCTCCCAAAGTGCTGGGATTACAGGCTTGAGCCACCGCGCCCGGCCAAAACACCATTCTTTGTTGGTCCAGACAGGGGACTCAAGACTAGTACATGGGATTCGGGCTCATCAGAAAGGAAGAACTTTCTAACAGTCACCCAAAAATGGCTGGCAGTGAGCTCAGCCACGCTGGAGGGAACAAGCAGAGACCACTCAGGTGATGAAGTGATACCAACGTTTGTGGCCACTGAAACTGCAGAGGTGGCGGCTGAGCCCAGGGGTCCCTTCCAGCCCTGAGGCTCCCTGAATGCTACTGGCAACAGAAAAGCCCAGCTTTGGGGAAAGGGGGTGGGGCCGGCCACCTACCTGCCTCTATTCTCCCCACGGGGGAGTGGCTGCTGCGGTTGCCGTCGGTCTGCAGCTCCTCATCGGGCTCCTCCCACTGGGGCAGCTCGTGGCCCAGCGCCTCCAGCTCCCTGTGGAAGCTGTGGTTGGAGCAGCTTTGGAGGAAGCCAAACACCAGCAGGTTTGTGATGCGCTCATCCTGGAGGTCGGAACCATTGCTGACCTGAGGGGAAAGGGGAGTCAGGAAGACCTGGGGACCCCGGCCAGGCCGTGCAGCTGGCCCAAAAGAGCCTCACAGGCCCCAGAGAGCTGAGGGACCCCCATGGGCTGGAGGGCCCTGCAGGAGGTCTCAGCAGGCCGAGGCCAGGTCTGCAGCCCCGGCTTTGAGCAGCATCACCTGTAGATGGCGGGGAACGGCCGACTCTGCAGACAGGGATTCCTGTGCAGAGGCATCTGCTGGCTCTCCTGAAACACGCAGCTGGGGAGCGAGAAGGCCACGCGAGTATCACGTGGACGCCGCCCGCCATCCTGTGCTCGCACGCTTTCTTCAATCCCCCGCAGGCTTCAGCAACCTGAGCCCACCTTTCCTGGCTGACTTTCCAGCAGGCGGAGCCCCTTTCTTCCCCTCATCTGCTTCATGGGCTCAGGAAGTACTGAGCAGATAAGAGATTTTCAATGACTACTGGGGAGCAGTGACCGCATCTGGTTCACTTCGGGTGGGTGCGTCCTTAAACCGAACTCCACAGGGAGCGGAGGGGCGGCTCTGGCTCCACCGCGAGGGGCTGGCGGTGCGGCTGGTGTCTGTGCCGCGGGAGACGGCGTGGGTTTGGGCGCCGACTGCATTTGGGGCTGTGGTCTGCAGCCAGGTGTGCCAGGGTAGAGAGAGGCCTAGGGTGGAAGACGCTGGGATCTGCCCCGGTTCTCAGGGAACAGACCTCCTGGGCAGCCAGAGAAAGGCCGGAGGGAAGATGCGAGCGTGGGAGGGAGGTAGGAGGGTAGGCGGGGGCGCGGGAGGGTAGACGGAGTGCAGGCAGAATTTTTTCTATCCTCTAAGTTCGTAATATTTTTCATCAAAAACCTTTGAGAGGACAGGTTTCTTTTTTTTTCTGAGGCAGAGTCTCACTCTGTTGCCCAGGCTGAAATGCAGTGGTGGGATCTCAGCTCACTGCAACCTGCACCTCCCAAGTTCAAGCGATTGTCCCACCTCAGCCTCTTGAGTAGCTGGGATTAGAGGCGTGCGCCACCATGACCAGCTAATTTTTATATTTTTAGTAGAGACAGACTTTCACCATGTTGGCCAGGCTGGTCTCAAACTTCTGACCTCAAGTGATCCTTCTGCCTCCACCTCCCAAAGTGGGATTACTGGGGTGAACCACCGTGCTCAGCCTCTAAACCTACTTTTGATAAAAGACTTGATATTTATTTATCATTTTAGATCATAGGAAAAAAATATGTAAGAGAAACCATCAAGACAGGAAATCCTGCAAGACATGTCACAGAAGTGATCTAATGGAGGCAGAAATAGTATCAATTCCACACGAAGCAAAAGGTGGTACTGGCTGGGCACGGCGGCTCATGCCTGCAATCCCGGCACTTTGGAAGGCCAAGGCCGGTGAATCACTTGAGGCCAAGAGTTCAAGACCAGCCTGGCCAACATGGTGAAACTCCGTCTCTACTAAAAATACAAAAATTAGCTGGGTTTGGTGGTGCGTGCCTGTAATCCCAGCTACTCAAGAGGCTAAGGCAAGAGAATTGCTTGAACCTGGGAGGCAGAGGTTACGGTAAGCTGAGATCGCGCCACCGCACTCCAGCCTGGGTGACAGAGCAAGACTCCGTCTCAAAAAAAAAAAAAAAAGAAAAAGTACCTACCCAATGTATTTTGATAAACTGGAAAAATTCTGTTCCCCAAACCTGGCAAAAAAAACAATAAAAATAAAACCACTCTCATTGTCTTTGTCTTTTCAAATATCAGAGAAACCAAAGAGGCAGCAGTTGGAAGATGCTGATGAGTAAAAAAGCAGAGTCCTCCACGCTTCCTAAAGGAAAATCAGGAAGACCGATTTCATTGTTGTCATGACAGGCGGGTCTGTCTGGCTCTGCTGCCCGGGCTGGAGTGCAGTGGCGCGACCTCGGCTCACCGCAGCCTCAAACTCCTGGGGTCAAGCAATCCACCCACTCTGCCTCCCAGAGTGCTGGGGTTACAGGCGTGAGCTGCCGTGCCGTGTAAAGTGGTAAATGTGCTGTTACGTGCATTTTATCAGGTATTTTTTTTTTACTACAGGAAGAAAAAAATATCTACACAGAGGCCGGGTATGGTGGCTCACACCACTTTGGGAAGCCAAGGTGGGTAGATTGCCTGAGTTCAGGAGTTCGGGACCAGCCTGGGGAACACGGTGAAACTCCATCTTTACTAAAAATACAAAAAATTAGCTGGGCATGGCGGCATGTGCCTGTAATCTCAGCTACTTGGGAGGCTAAGACAGGAGAATTGCTTGAGCCCGGGAGGCAGAGGTTGCAGTGAACCAAGATCACGCCATTGCACTCCAGCCTGGGCAATAGAGTAAGACTCCATCTCAAAAAAAAAAAAAAAAGAAAAATCTACACAGAATAAAATTTCTGATAGGGGCCAGGCACAGTGGCTCATACCTGTAATCCCAGCACTTTGGGAGGCTGAGGTGGGTGGATCACAAGGTCAAGAGATTGAGACCATCCTGACTAACATGGTGAAACCCCAGCTCTACTAAAAATACAAAAATTAGCTGGGCGTGGTGGCAGGTTCCTGTAATCCCAGCTACTTGGGAGGCTGAGGCAGGAGAATCGCTTGAACCTGGGAGGCAGAGGTTGCAGTGAGCCGAGATTGTGCCATTGCACTCCAGCCTGGGTGACAGAGCAAGACTGTGCCTCAAAAAAAAGGAAAAAGAAAAATTCTGAGCATGGTGGTGTACCTATTACCTATTTCTCCATCTAAATAAAAAAGTTCTGATGGAAAAAAAGCCTGAACCCTAGAATTTAAGGGAAGGTTTCGAAGTGTTTGCTGTGACCCCGGCTCTGTGGGCCTGGGCAGGTGCCTCACTGCTGCCTCAGCTTTCTCACCCCGAAAGCAAGAAAGGGCAGTGCTAGGAGTGGCGAGGTGACATCCAGCCTCCTCCACTGAGGGTGCCAGGGGAAGAGGCGGGCGGGCGGGAGGGCAGCTGGGCGGGCAGGCGCCTCCGTGAGTCAGGGCACCGTGCGGGTGACGGTGGTGTTTTACCTGCCAACACCTCCAGAGCACGAAGCAGGAACAGCAGCCGCCAGTGCGAAGGGACGGAGGCACCCACAGAGCGGTCTTTTGGGCACTGACAAGGAGCCTGCATCAGGATGGGGGGAGCTCCTGCAATCTCCTGTTCGTGTAACTGACATCGCTACCAGGATGAAATCCACACCATCCCCACCTCTGGAGAGGGCGCCCAGCAGGAGCGGCTTGAGAACCTCCCGGGAGCCAGGGGCTCTCCATGCTCAGGACCCGCGACACAGGCCACCGGTCACTAGGCACCAAGGCATTAGACTTCACAGATGCCTCCCCAGAGGCTGCCAGGACTGTGAGGACCTGAGCTCAGCAGGAGGGGGCTCTGAGGCCGTGCGTGGAGAGAGGTTCCTGACCCGTGCGCTGTGGGGTCCTGAAACTGTTTAAAGGGAAGGAGAGACAAGGAGTGGCTTGGACAGTCCCGCTCCCAGAATGCCACTGCTTTCATCTTAAAGACAGGGTCTTACTATGTTGCCCAGATTTGTCTCAATCCAACTCCTGGCCTCAAGCAATCCCCCTGCCTCTGCGTCTCACGTCACTGGGACTCTGCGTGTGAGCCACCTCGCACGGCTATGAAGGGAAATTTAAATTCAGTGGGTTACAAAAATCTGGAAACACCTTACAGTTTACAGCACTTTTACTTGAACTTACTGATGTATTTGCTCCTCACAACGTGGGTTAGACACAAATATCCGTGTCTTGCTCTTATAGTTGAGAATGACCTAAAACGCTGACCGAACACGCGCGTTCTTGTTCTTACATCTCTGTGTTTGTCTGGACAGGCTGGAGTGCACTGGCACAATCATGGCTCACTGCAGCCCCGGCCTCCTGGCCTCAAGGAATCCGCCTGCCTTAGCCTCCCAAAGTGCTGGGACCCATAGCCCATTAAATGGTCTTCAACCAAAAGCCCCCTTGCCCTTGCGGTGAGCCGCAGGCACCGTGTGGAGGGCTGTATCCAAAACAGAGCACAAGGAAGGTGCAGGGCAGGGACAGGGATGACCTCCCAGCTCCCACCTGCTTCAGTGAAGGGACTGGGCAGGGTTCCTCTGTGCCAAGCTGTGATAAGGGCCAGGCGGACTCAGCCTCAGCCCTCAGGCATGTGTGCTGGGGGACACGTGGGCCCTCACCCCTCGCCTCCCAGCCCCCAACAAGGCACCCTTTAGGGGATCTGGCCTCTGACCTCGCAGTCCATGGCCTGGGCAGTGCAGCGGCGGCTCACTCCTGGCTCAGGGTGTCCAGGCGGCGACCTGGAAGAGGACACACACAGGGTCGGGGGCTGCTCCTGGGAAGCCCTGCTCGGGACCCCTCGGCAGGAGCACACAGCTGGCCTGGACTCCAGAAACGGCGGCTCGGCCCAGGTCCTGGCCCAGCCAGCACGCCCTGGGTTTCTTTCTCCTTGGCCAGAGCCAAGCTTTCTTTTTCTCATTCCAGAGACTCCCAGAGGCCCTCAGCACTCTGGGGCCGATCCCACACCGGAGTCCAGCCTTCCCGTGCCACGCCGGGAAGACCTCAGGCATCAGAGAGACAGGGCCTTAATCTCACAAATGACTTCATTGCCATAAAATGTAAAATGTTTATAAAGAGAGAGAATGAATTTGACAAAAGATTAAAGCTTCTGGCTGGACACACTGGCTCACACCTGCAATCCCAGTACTTTGAGAGGCCAAGGCGGGCGGATCACTTGAGGTCAGGAGTTTGAGGCCAGCCTGGCCAATGTGGTGAAACCCCGTCTCTACTAAAAATACAAAAATTAGCTGGGTGTGGTAGTGCATGCCTGTAATCCCAGCTACTTGGGAGGCTGAGGCAGGAGAACTGCTTGAACCCGGGAGATGGAGGTTGTAGTGAGCCGACATCATGCCACTGCACTCCAGCCTGGGTGACAGAGCGAGATTTCATCTCAAAAAAAAAAAAAAAAAAAATGAGCTGAGTATGGTGGGGTACCTCTAACTATTTCCCAGATACTTGGGAGGCCGAGGCCAGAGGATCGCTTAAGCCCAGGAGTTCAAGGCTGCAGGAGCTAGGATGGCACCACTGCACTCCAGCCTGGGCACAGAGTGAGATCCTGGCTCTCAAATAAAAGAATGACCAGTCTGGCCAACATGGTGAAACCCCATCTCTACAAAAATACAAAATTAGCCAGGTGTGGTGGTGCAAGCCCTGTGGTCCCAGCTACTTGGGAGGCTGGGGCAGGAGGATCACTTAAGCCCAGGAGGTGGAGGTTGCACTGAGTGGAGATCACACCACTGCACTCCAGCCTGGGTTCAGAGAGAGACCCTGTCTGATAAAAGAGAGAGAGAGAGAGAGATCTGTGTGGGCATCCGTATAGTGTCTTAAAAAGAACAAAAATTTCTACAGAACACTGTGAATAGAATAATCCTGTTTGAGAAAGAGTGTGTGTGTGTGTGTGTGTGTGTGTGCGCGCGCGCGCACGCGTGTGTAGACACAATATTGTGTTGAACCAAATGAAATAGCCATTTCGTAGGACAAACCCAACTACTGGCAATTTCACATGGTTCCTGAATACACAGGAAATAAAAAACAAACAGAGGTGTGACAATCTGCCCATGCCCAGGCAGAGAGGAGGTGGCAGGAACCAGCACTGACCGGCGCCTCGCCTACCTCCCTGCCTTGGGGCTCCCGCAGGCCTGGGGACTCTGCACTGCTGCAGGCTGCACCCCACTCCCTCACTGGGGAGCCCAGGAGAAACCCTGGCCGGGCGTGGCTGTGCAGTACATAGGAAAGGGGCCAAGAGCAAATGACCAAGCAGCATGTGGACACAGGGAGGTGCCAAGACCCGACTCCAGGGCCATCCTTGGGCTCCACAGAGTGTGGAGGGGAGGAGGAATGGGAGCCTGCACCCACACGAGACGAAGCACAGGACAGAGCCCACCCCAGGAAACACACCACAGAGGCCACAGCAGCCCCCAGGGCCACTGCCCAGGCCACGGCACAGTGGACCAGACCCTGGCCTCCCCAGCAAGGTCTGGAGCCCCCGCCCCTCACCACTTTATCCTCCAAGGAACAACTTCAGGGGTCTCCGTGGGGAAAGTGCCCACTGTCACTCTGAGCTCACAAAATCAGCTTCCTTCACACTCAGACACACGCCCATGCCACAAGCAGACCGTGGCCACCTCGGCACTGCAGCGAGCCCCCAGCAGACACAAACGCTGTGTCTCAGGCAGTGGTTCTCAGCCAGGCGACGTGGACACCCAGGGACTATGAGGTGCTGTCTGCGGACATTTAGGGGGCGCTCCTGGCACCTAGCAAGTAGCGGTCGGGGCACTGCTGAACACCCTACAATGCTTAGGGCAGCACACAACTCATCTGGCCCAAAATGCCACTAGTGCTCAGGGCCAAAGTCCCACACCAGTGCGTTCATATACACAGAGGAGTACTGCTAACCCACAGCAGTGCGTTCATATACACAGAGGAATACGGCTAACCCACAGCAGTGCGTTCATATACAGAGGAATACCGCTAACCCCCAGCAGTGCGTTCATATACAGAGGAATACCGCTAACCCACAGCAGTGCGTTCATATACACAGAGGAATACGGCTAACCCACAGCAGTGCGTTCATATACAGAGGAATACCGCTAACCCACAGCAGTGCGTTCATATACACAGAGGAATACCGCTAACCCACAGCAGTGCGTTCATATACAGAGGAATACCGCTAACCCACAGCAGTGCGTTCATATACAGAGGAATACCGCTAACCCACAGCAGTGCGTTCATATACACAGAGGAATACCGCTAACCCACAGCAGTGCGTTCATATACAGAGGAATACCGCTAACCCACAGCAGTGCGTTCATATACAGAGGAATACCGCTAACCCACAGCAGTGCGTTCATATACAGAGGAATACCGCTAACCCACAGCAGTGCGTTCATATACAGAGGAATACCGCTAACCCACAGCAGTGCGTTCATATACAGAGGAATACGGCTAACCCACAGCAGTGCGTTCATATACAGAGGAATACCGCTAACCCACAGCAGTGCGTTCATATACAGAGGAATACCGCTAACCCACAGCAGTGCGTTCATATACACAGAGGAATACCGCTAACCCACAGCAGTGCGTTCATATACAGAGGAATACCGCTAACCCACAGCAGTGCGTTCATATACACAGAGGAGTACCGCTAACCCACAGCAGTGCGTTCATATACACAGAGGAATATGGCTAACCCACAGCAGTGCGTTCATATACAGAGGAATACCGCTAACCCACAGCAGTGCGTTCATATACACAGAGGAATACCGCTAACCCACAGCAGTGCGTTCATATACACAGAGGAATACCGCTAACCCACACCAGTATGTCGCATACACAGCGAGTACCACTAACCCATAGCAGTGTCTAATATACACAGAGGACTACCCCTAACCCACACCGGTGTGTCATATACGAAGAATACCCCTAACCCACACCGGCGTGTCACACAGAGGAATACAGCTAACCCACAGCAATGTCACATACAGAGGAATACTGCTAACCCACAGCAGTGTGTCACATACACAGAGGAATACTGCTAACCCACAGCAGTGTGTCCCATACACAGAGGAGTAGTGCTAACCCACAGCAGTGTGTCACATACACAGAGGAGTACCGCCAACCCACAGCAGTGTGTCCCATACACAGAGGAGTACCGCTAACCCACAGCAGTGTGTCACACAGAGGAGTACCGCCAACCCACAGCAGTGTGTCACATACACAGAGGAATACCGCTAACCCACAGCAGTGTGTCACATACACAGAGGAATACTGCTAACCCACAGCAGTGTGTCACATACACAGAGGAATACCACTAACCCACAGCAGTGTGTCACATACACAGAGGAGTACCGCTACCCCACAGCAGTGTGTCACATACACAGAGGAGTACCGCCAACCCACAGCAGTGTGTCACATACACAGACAAATACGGCTAACCCACAGCAGTGTGTCACATAGAGGAATACGGCTACCCCACAGCAGCGTGTCACATACCCAGAGGAATACAGCTAACACACCTGTGTGTCACATACACAGAGGAATACGGCTACCCCACAGCAGTGTGTCACATACACAGAGGAATACGGCTACCCCACAGCAGTATGTCACATACACAGAGGAATATGGCTAACCCACACCTGTGTGTCACATACACAGAGGAATACCGCCAACCCACAGCAGTGTGTCACATACACAGAGGAATACGGCTACCCCACAGCAGTGTGTCACATACACAGAGGAATACGGCTACCCCACAGCAGTGTGTCACATACACAGAGGAATACCGCTAACCCACAGCAGTGCGTTCATATACACAGAGGAATACCGCTAACCCACAGCAGTGCGTTCATATACACAGAGGAATACCGCTAACCCACAGCAGTGCGTTCATATACACAGAGGAATACCGCTAACCCACAGCAGTGCGTTCATATACAGAGGAATACCGCTAACCCACAGCAGTGCGTTCATATACACAGAGGAATACCGCTAACCCACAGCAGTGCGTTCATACACAGAGGAATACCGCTAACCCACAGCAGTGCGTTCATATACACAGAGGAATACCGCTAACCCACAGCAGTGCGTTCATATACACAGAGGAATACGGCTAACCCACAGCAGTGCGTTCATATACACAGAGGAATACCGCTAACCCACAGCAGTGCGTTCATATACACAGAGGAATACCGCTAACCCACAGCAGTGCGTTCATACACAGAGGAATACCGCTAACCCACAGCAGTGCGTTATATACACAGAGGAATACCGCTAACCCACACCAGTGCGTTCATATACACAGAGGAATACCGCTAACCCACAGCAGTGCGTTCATATACACAGAGGAATACGGCTAACCCACAGCAGTGCGTTCATATACACAGAGGAATACCGCTAACCCACAGCAGTGCGTTATATACACAGAGGAATACCGCTAACCCACAGCAGTGCGTTCATATACACAGAGGAATACCGCTAACCCACAGCAGTGCGTTCATACACAGAGGAATACCGCTAACCCACAGCAGTGCGTTATATACACAGAGGAATACCGCTAACCCACAGCAGTGCGTTCATATACACAGAGGAATACCGCTAACCCACAGCAGTGCGTTCATACACAGAGGAATACCGCTAACCCACAGCAGTGCGTTATATACACAGAGGAATACCGCTAACCCACAGCAGTGCGTTCATATACACAGAGGAATACCGCTAACCCACAGCAGTGCGTTCATATACACAGAGGAATACCGCTAACCCACAGCAGTGCGTTATATACACAGAGGAATACCGCTAACCCACAGCAGTGCGTTCATATACACAGAGGAATACCGCTAACCCACAGCAGTGCGTTCATATACACAGAGGAATACCGCTAACCCACAGCAGTGCGTTATATACACAGAGGAATACCGCTAACCCACAGCAGTGCGTTCATATACACAGAGGAATACCGCTAACCCACAGCAGTGCGTTCATACACAGAGGAATACGGCTAACCCACAGCAGTGCGTTCATATACACAGAGGAATACCGCTAACCCACAGCAGTGCGTTCATATACACAGAGGAATACCGCTAACCCACAGCAGTGCGTTCATATACACAGAGGAATACGGCTAACCCACAGCAGTGCGTTCATATACACAGAGGAATACCGCTAACCCACAGCAGTGCGTTCATATACAGAGGAATACCGCTAACCCACAGCAGTGCATTCATACACAGAGGAATACCGCTAACCCACAGCAGTGCGTTCATATACACAGAGGAATACCGCTAACCCACAGCAGTGCGTTCATATACACAGAGGAATACCGCTAACCCACAGCAGTGCGTTCATATACACAGAGGAATACGGCTAACCCACAGCAGTGCGTTCATATACACAGAGGAATACCGCTAACCCACAGCAGTGCGTTCATATACACAGAGGAATACCGCTAACCCACACCAGTAAGTCGCATACACAGCGAGTACCACTAACCCATAGCAGTGTCTAATATACACAGAGGACTACCCCTAACCCACACCGGTGTGTCATATACGAAGAATACCCCTAACCCACACCGGCGTGTCACACAGAGGAATACAGCTAACCCACAGCAATGTCACATACAGAGGAATACTGCTAACCCACAGCAGTGTGTCACATACACAGAGGAATACCGCTAACCCACAGCAGTGTCACATACAGAGGAATACTGCTAACCCACAGCAGTGTCACATACAGAGGAATACTGCTAACCCACAGCAGTGTGTCACATACACAGAGGAATACTGCTAACCCACAGCAGTGTGTCCCATACACAGAGGAGTACCGCTAACCCACAGCAGTGTGTCACATACACAGAGGAATACCGCTAACCCACAGCAGTGTGTCACATACACAGAGGAATATGGCTACCCCACAGCAGTGTGTCACATACACAGAGGAGTACCGCTAACCCACAGCAGTGTGTCACATACACAGAGGAGTACCGCCAACCCACAGCAGTGTGTCACATACACAGAGGAATACCGCTAACCCACAGCAGTGTGTCACATACACAGAGGAATATGGCTACCCCACAGCAGTGTGTCACATACACAGAGGAGTACCGCTAACCCACAGCAGTGTGTCACATACACAGAGGAGTACCGCCAACCCACAGCAGTGTGTCACATACACAGAGGAGTACCGCCAACCCACAGCAGTGTGTCACATACACAGAGGAATACCGCTAACCCACAGCAGTGTCACATACAGAGGAATACCGCTAACCCACAGCAGTGTCACACAGAGGAATACCGCTAACCCACAGCAGTGTCACATACAGAGGAATACTGCTAACCCACAGCAGTGTGTCACATACACAGAGGAATACTGCTAACCCACAGCAGTGTGTCACATACACAGAGGAATACGGCTACCCCACAGCAGCGTGTCACATACACAGAGGAATACAGCTAACACACCTGTGGTCACATACACAGAGGAATATGGCTAACCCACACCTGTGTGTCACATAGACAGAGGAATACCGCCAACCCACAGCAGTGTGTCACATACACAGAGGAATACGGCTAACCCACAGCAGTGTGTCACATACACAGAGGAATACGGCTACCCCACAGTAGTGTGTTACATACACAGAGGAATATGGCTAACCCACACCTGTGTGTCACATACACAGAGGAATACCGCCAACCCACAGCAGTGTGTCACATACACAGAGGAATACGGCTACCCCACAGCAGTGTGTCACATACACAGAGGAGTACCAGTAACCCCGGTGTTGGGCATGTCAACAGCTAACATCATCACCACTAGGCCGGGCATGGTGCACACCTGTAGTCCCAGCTACTTGGGAGGCTGAGGCAGGGGAATGGCTTGAACTTGGGAGGCGGAGGTTGCAGTGATCTGAGACTGTGCCATTGCACTCCAGCCTGGGCTACAGAGCAAGACTGTCTCAAAATAACATTGCCGCCACTAAAGACAGGGCTGTGATGAGTGCCCAGGGGAGAGATGCTGTGGCAGTCTCCGGAGAGGACAGGGTGAGGGCGGCTCCCCCAGGCTGTGCCTTGAGGTCCAGGGCCCAGACCCTGGGGGCCTCATACCCTGGGACATGAGGCCACCTCCCCTGGTCAATGGCCGTGGAGGGCTTAAGGAGCGGGGAGCGGCACTGCTAGGCCTGGCTGGTCAATTTCGGGTAGAGCAGCAGCCCTGCATTGGGTCACCTCTGGCTTCATCTGTCACTTAAGTAGAAATCCAGTGAGTCACTGTCAGCTGTGAGTGTGCCCAGGAGGGCGTGGACGCAGACGAAACCACAGAGGCTCCCCGGTCAACAGTGGCCCTGCTCCGATTCCAACTCCTAAACCAAGTTGCCAGGAAGAAGGAAACTCGGGCAGCCAGGAGTCCACGCCCCTCCCTTCCAAGGGCCAGTGGGAAGATGCCAGGCGGGTGGGAAACAGGAAATATGTCGATGCCAGGACGCTCACAGCCAGGATCCCCACACCCTCGCAGTGAATGGGGTGAGGCAGAGCTCCGCATGCACCATTCCCCCAGTCTCCAGGACTCAGCCACCCACCAGGCACCGCCAGGCCCCCACCACGATCCCCCATTCCTCACTACAGCCTCGTCAGGAAGGCGCTTCCGCCCCGGTTTCAGAGTCACAGCTGAGGCCCCAGGGTGCCCCGGGAGGGTCATGGGAGAGCTCCGCTGCTGCTGAGCTGGGGGTGCCAGACCCTCCAGAGTATGCTCAGATGCCAGCTTTGCTTCCGAAGCCCGTGGGCCTCCCACGCAGCCTGGAAGCCAAATGTCCCGGAACTCACTGAAAACGCCACGCGGGCGGTCGGAGAGAGGTGTGGGCTGCTGGGGACAGGCACAGCACAGGTGCTCCAGAGGAAGGTGTCTAAGGGCCAGGTCTCTGCAGGCCAGTCCTCTCCTTGGCCAACATGGGGTCATCCCTGTCTTCCTGGTTCCACTCACGGGGAACAGCCGACTCATTGAATTTTTTTTCTTTCCTCTTTGAGACGGAGTCTCACTCTGTCACCCAGGCTGGACTGCAAGGGCGTGGTCTCGGCTCACTGCAACCTCTGCCTCCCGGGTTCAAGTGATTCTCCCGTCTCAGCCTCCCAAGTAGCTGGGACCACATTCAGTTCCATCAGCCACCAGTCACATTCCGCAGGACTCGGAAACAGCGTCCACCCTCACCAAGGCCCGGCTGGCGGTGGAGGTGGTCTGAGAGCCGCTGAGACGACGTCACCTGTAAGCCTGGGCCTCGAGGCTCTGAATGACCACAGGTGAAAGCGCCGGGGCAGCCCCTCCCCAGGTGGGGAACGTGAGCATGGGGCGAGCCTCAGGTGTTTCGCATGAACAATTTCTAACTGTTATGAGAACCAACTGGCCAGTGTTTCCTCCTAATGAAAATCTCCGCAGAGCAGGGGGGGGCCCTGATGAGCTCCATGCCTCCCACCAAGCCCAGAACTCCTGAAAAGCTGCCACGAATCACGTTCACACACATGCCGAACCAAGGAGCCGCGGCCGGCGTGGCTGTGTTAGAAAATCACTCCTCCGGCCGGGCGCGGTGGCTCAAGCCTGTAATCCCAGCACTTTGGGAGGCCGAGGCGGGTGGATCACAAGGTCAACAGATCGAGACCATCTTGGTCAACATGGTGAAACCCCGTCTCTACTAAAATTACAAAAAATTAGCTGGGCACGGTGGTGCGTGCCTGTAATCCCAGCTGCTCGGGAGGCTGAGGAAGGAGAATTGCCTGAACCCAGGAGGTGGAGATTGCGGTGAGCCGAGATTGCGCCATTGCACTCCAGCCTGGGTAACAAGAGCGAAACTCCGTCTCAAAAAAAAAAAAAAAAAAAAAAAAAAAGAAAGAAAATCACTCCTCCCACGCAGGTCTTACCAGATCACACTTAAAACAAACCTCATGATGTTTATGTGATTTTCTCTTTATAAGGTGAATGATCAAATCTCCGTGATTTTCCAGGGGCACTCAGAGTCTCAGGACAGCTTAGAGGCAACTAGACAGTGGGTTAAGGCAGGATCTCGGGTGTCTGAGAGGGAAGGAGACTTCATTAACCATTAACAAATCAAACCTGATCTTTCACAAGTGAGGAACCTTTGTTCTTTGCTTTTCCCCCTTAAATAAGCAAGAGCATAATAAAGTCAACAGAAAGCATCAAAAATGATTCTGCTGCACAGAACCTCTGCCATCCGGGTGGACTACACAGAAAGGAAGGAATCATCTTTCATTGTGAAGGCAAAGGCGACCATGAGTCGAGGCCAGCAAACTTTGCAAACATCATGACATAACTATAGCTGCTTTTCGGCTCAGGTCCTGTGAGGAGAAAAGGCACATCCCTAGTTTTGCCCTTCACTGATTTTTGTCATTGTTACCATATTCTGGAACACACTGGGAAATCACTTCTGGAGAGAGTGTGGACCAGGATATCCTAGGTGCCCGAGGCCCTTTACTGAGAATCTGTGAGGTCCAAAGGCTTCCATGACACAATTTCCTCCATCGTTCTCTCACGAGGGGACAGGGGACTTTCCCAGAGGCTGAGAGAGACACTGCGGCAACTGAGAATCTGGGTATCCTCTCTTCGGACTCCCAGGACACCTGCAGAAACACTGACGCAATGTTCTTCTCAACAGAAACTTTGTTTTATAAAATAGTTATTTAAAAAAAAAAAAAATGGGCTGGGCGTGGTGGCTGTGTAATCCCAGCACTTTGGGAATCGGAGGTGAGTGGATCACCTGAGGTCAGGAGTTTGAAACCAGCCTGACCAAGAGTGAAACCCCATCTCTACTAAAATACAAAAATTAGCCGGGCATCGTGGTCCACGTCTGTAATCCCAGCTACTCGGGAGGCTGAGACAGGAGAATGGCTTGAACCCAGGAGGCAGTGGTTGCAGTGAGCCGAGATCAGGCCACTGCACTCCAGCCTGGGCGACAGAGCAAGACCCTGTCTCCAAAAAAAATAATGAAATAAAATAAAGCAATTTCACACACTTAAAATGAGTTTAAGTCATAACCTAATTATGACTTTCAACCAAAGTAACTGACTTCCATTTTACAGAGAACCTCAGGCTGATGGTGGAGAGCTGTCTGCCAGATACACGTTTAGCAGACACCTGTGAGCACACACACCACGGCCTTCACAGCCACGTGCACCCTCCTATGCTGTCTCAATGTGGAAACATACTCACGAGTGCAGGCCAAGATAAGGCCTCTTTTTAGAGCTGAAAAAAACGTAGGTATACCTAGTAATCGGTGTTTTACTATTCTGTCTTACCGAGAAAGTATGTCGATAACCAAAGAATACCTACTAATCCATTTAGTATCAGTCCAAGGTTTTTTGTTTTTTTTTTTTTTTGAGACGGAGTTTCGCTCTTGTTACCCAGGCTGGAGTGCAATGGTGCGATCTCGGCTCACCGCATCCTCCTCCTCCTGGGTTCAGGCAATTCTCCTGCCTCAGCCTCCCAAGTAGCTGGGATTACAGGCACGCGCCACCATGCCCAGCTAATTTTTTGTATTTTTAGTAGAGACGGGGTTTCACCATGTTGACCAGGATGGTCTCGATCTCTTGACCTCATGATCCACCCGCCTCGGCCTCCCAAAGTGCTGGGATGACAGGCGTGAGCCACTGCACCCAGCCCAGTCCAAGATTTTAAGTTACCAAAGCTTTATCTTGGTACAGTTCACTGTTGGAATAATGAATACATTTGAACACAAACTTGTATTTTTTTATCATCTTAAGCATTATGTAAGAGTAACATTAGCTGATTTGATAGGTAGACTCAAAGTTTAGGGGAGAAAGCCAAGTAGAATACAGTGTAGACCTGTATTATATGTATATATATTTTTTGCAAATGGAGTCTTACTCTGTCGCCCAGGCTGCCGTGCAGTCATGTGATCTTGGCTCACTGCAACCTCCATCTCCTCCCTGGGTCAAGCAATTCTGCCTCAGCCTCCTGAGTAGCTGGGATTACAGGCACGCGCCACCACGCCCAGCTAATTTTCGTATTTTTAGTAGAGACGGGGTTTCACCATGTTGACCAGGATGGCCTAGATCTTCTGACCTCCTAACCTGTCTGCATCGGCCTCCCAAAGTGCTGGGATTACAGGTGTGAGCCACCACGCCCAGCACACTTGTATTACATTTAAAAGCCCAAATTACCAAATTGGTCTCAGTTGCCAAAGACTGACTTCAATTATGTGGACTTAGATGATCACTGTGACTATTATTACCGGAGACAGGGTCTGGCTCTGTCCCCTAGGCTGGAGTGTAGGGGCACAATCACAGCTCACTACAGCCTCAACCTCCGGGGCTCAGGTGATCCTCCCACCCCAGCCTCCAGAGCCGGAACTACAGCACAACCACCACACACAGTTAATCTTTTATTTTTGGTAGCGACAAGGCCTTGCCATGTTGCCCAGGCTGGTCTCGAGCTCCTGGACTCAGGCCATCCTGCCTGCCTCGGCCTCCCAAAGTGCTGGGATGACAGGTGTGAGCCATTACATGTGGCCTGAACTTAAAATTTTTGAAGGATTCCCGAGTTTGTTTCTGCAAGAAGGATTTCTTTTTAAATTTAAAGTCTAGTGCATTTAAATTATTAGAAGTACAGCTGGGTGCGGTGGCTGACACCTGTAATCCCAGCACTTTGGGAGGCCAAGGTCAAGGCAGGTGGATCATGAGGTCAGCAGTTCGAGACAAGCCTGACCAACATGGTGAAACCTCATGTCTACTAAAAATACAAAAATTAACCAGGCATGTTGACGTGCGCCTGTAATCCCAGCTACTTGGGAGGCTGAGGCAGGAGAATCCCCTGAACCCACAAGGCAGAGAGAGGTTGCAGTGAGCCGAGATCGCGCCATTGCACTCCAGCCTGGGCAGCAAGAGCGAAACTCCATCTCAAGAAGAAAAGAAAGAAAAAGGCTAGGCACGGTGGCTCATGCCTGTAATCCCAGCACTTTGGGAGGCTGAGGCGTGTAGATCATGAGGTCAGGAGATCGAGATCATCCTTGTTAACACAGTGAAACTCCATCTCTACTAAAAATACAAAAAATTAGCTGGGCATGGTGGCGCCCGCCTGTAGTCCCAGCTACTCGGGAAACTGAGACAGGAGAATCACTTGAACCCAGGAGGCGGAGGTTGCAGTGACCTGAGATGGAGCCATTGCACTCCAGCCTAGCAACAGAGCAAACTCCATCTCAAAAAAAAAAAAAAAAAAAAAAAAAGAAAGAAAGAAAAAATTAGCTGGGCGTGGTGGCGCACGCCTGTAATCCCAGCTACTTGGGAGGCTGAGGCAGAAGAATTGCTTGAACCCGGGAGGCAGAGGTTGCAGTGAGCAGAGATCTCACCACTGCACTCCAGCCTGGCAACAAAGTGAGGCTCCGTCTCAAAAACAAAAACCCGATAACAAACAAATAATTAGAAGTTCGATTTTCTTCTGTTCTGGAAATCTTAGAAATATTTGCTCATATCAGCTCATCACAAGCCAATCAGAATAGAGTCCTCCAATTCAGGATACTTCAATTGTCCTGGGTGGACATAAAATTCTGAATTGAATTGAGCTCAAAGGAATCTAAGGCCACAGACAGGGAAGTGCAGCCACCCAGATTCTCCGCATCTGGCCACAGAGAACCGATCTAGGTCATCCGCCTACAAACATGAGCCAAGAATACGACCACAAACCAATGCTCAATCACAGATGCCACCAGGCCACGGGGAAGCCAGAAACCATCAGAACACAGAATCAGGGGCGGGGAAAACAGACACGGAGAGAAAACGGAGAAACAGCGTCCGCCAAGCGCAGAGTTCTGCCAAGTCCCACTGCTGCCTGAATTTGCCTCCCGTAGCCGAGAAAAGACCCGAACTTTGGGAGGGAGGCCGAGGCAGGAGGATCGCTTGAGCCCAGGAGCTCGAGACAAGCGTAGGCAACATAGTGAGGCTCTGTCTCTACAAAAACTACAAAATAAAAATTGAATGAAAATTGATACCTGCTGTGACATGAGTGACCCTTGAAAACATGCTACATGAAAGAAGTAAGCCACAAAAGACCACAGGTTGCAGGGAGCTGAGATCCAGCCAGTGCGCTCCAGCCAGGTGGCAGAGCGAGACTCCGCCTCAAAAAAAATCATCGGGGCGTGGCGGCGCACACCTGTGATCCCAGCTACTCGGGAGGCTGAGGCAGAAGAACTGCTTGAACCCGGGAGGCAGAGGTTGCGGTGAGCCGAGATCGCACAGCTTGAAATCCAGCTTGCACACACCTGTGTGATTCCAGTTGTGTCAAAGTTCCTTAATGTGCAGATCCACAGGCAGAAAGGTCAGGGCTCTGTGTGTCTGGAGCTTCTCTTTGGGGTGCCGAAATGTTCTGCCTGTAGATGGTGGCAGTGACTGCACAACTGTGAATACACCAAGCCGCTGGACTGTACACTTTAAATGGGTGAATTTTTTTTTTTTTTTTTTTGAGACAGAGTTTGGCTCTTGTTACCCAGGCTGGAGTGCAATGGCGCCATCTCGGCTCACTGCAACCTCCGCCTCCTGGGTTCAGGCAATTCCCCTGCCTCAGCCTCCTGAGTAGCTGGGATTACAGGCACGCGCCACCATGCCCAGCTAAGTTTTTGTATTTTTAGTAGAGACGGGGTTTCACCATGTTGACCAGGATGGTCTCGATCTCTTGACCTCGTGATCCACCCGCCTCGGCCTCCCAAAGTGCCGGGATTACAGGCTTGAGCCACCGCGCCCGGCAAATGGGTGAATTTTATGGCATGTGT